GAAGTTCCTAAGTGGTTAGCACATAAGTTGACCTTTTAAGCCTAATTTGGGTTAATCCTTTTACTAAGTTTAGTTAAACCTAGTCCATTTAGTACCCGTTCAAACTAAAAAGACTTAAAATCCTCAATTAACCTAACTAATAGACCTTAAGACTTTTAGAGGATGTTAATGGATTAACTGCATCCCTATGGTCTCAATTGGTCCCAAGATTTTGTCTAATATACCACCTTTGAAATTGATTTGACTTATAAGCCAAAGTAATTCAACTTTTGTGCTAGCTTTATTTGAGGGAAACCATGCACAATTCCCTCTATATATAGAAATTTAAAGGAACTTTCTTCACTACGGTGAGTTAGATGGTAAACTAGAATATTTATGGTTAGGCTCAACTTGTAAATAACCATGTTTATCACATAGGTTAAAGACCAAGAGGGTAAACTCTGGTTTAAGATTCTAGCCTCCATGGATAATCAAAGTGCATTATTGGATCCCATTTTATCTAGTAGATGATGTTAGCGATACTAAGCACCATGAGCAGATGAGATGGTATAAGGGAAGAATGTGACAAAATATAGACCATAAGAGAGAGAGAGAGAGAGAGAGAGAGAGAGAGAGAGAGAGAGAGAGAGAGGGAGGAAGAGTGAGAGAGATAGATTCTATGAATATAGACTAAATATTTATTATCTAGGCTAGAGATACAATTAAGATGGTAGAAAAGCTTAGAGCTTTTGGTAACAAAGAAGTATATAACATCCAATCTAAGGATTTTCCATGAATGAAGTTGAATTGAATCTCTCCTCCTTCTTCTATGTGTATGTGGTTGTATTTCTCTCCTTGGATTGAAAATGAAAACTTTTTTCTTAGGTATAGTAATTGTAAAATGGAGCTAGTTGTCATCCCTGTGAGTTTGGAGCCTTCTTTAAAATGATAGACGTGGTGTGGGTATATATATAATCTATATATAGTAGCACTTCTAGTATGAATCGAGAAAAATGTTTTCTTTGTTATGCACCTTGTGAGCTTGGTAAAACTTTTTTGCTTAACTCCGAAGGCTTCTCCCTTCTTCTTTCTTCATTTTTGGTACTTTGCTTCCTCCTTTCCCTCAATCCTCTTTTCTGTTGTCCATCTTCATCCTTTGTAAAGTTTGAAAGGTTGAGTAATGTACACCTTTTATATGATGGCTATATTGTTAGTGTTTATCATTAGTCGAGCGTCAGTGCCAAATGAAATGTTGATTGAAAGGGGCCTTTGGAAGCTTGTCATTGTGGGCAACAAGTGGTTATGGGACCCCTTATTGAGTTGTGAGGATGTCGGATGTCTCCAGAGAGTAGTTGGAGGGATGGACTAATGTGGCATGTATGACCATTTTATGGTCACCCTATTTGAGGTGAGAAAGATATTTAATGTCTTGACGAGGCCTTTAGTTTGACTCGATAGGAAGAGATATTTTGTTACAATAGTGTGTGTCACTCGTTGTTTGATATAACCTTGTATAGAAAGCTTGGTTATGCTTAGATGAATAAAGATATATCTATATGAGAAAGGAACCTCTGACATCACATTTGTCTACGGACAACTATTTGGAAGAGACAATCGATGCTAGTCCAACATTCTCCAGTGTTAAGATCCTTTTGAGCTTCTAGCAAGTTCCTAGAACGAACTACTCTGAGGGAGGAGGGGGTCTTCCTTTTGCTTAACCTGAATGTAACCTGCAAGATACCTGTGAACGAGTACCTGCACGGGTATTCATGATTGTACACATATGACTTTAATCCCTAACATTTTTCATTATGAGGAGCACAAACCCTTTCTAAGATTTTTTGATATGATATGGAAGTTGCTAAAAACCATACCTTAAATTGATTTTTGGCCTCTTTGGTTAGTCTAACTTGGTGGGAAGTAAAGAGAGCTAATGAATGTTATGGAGAATCCTCAAGAACACAAAGAATACAGAGTAATGGGATGCTTTCCTTGGGATTACTTATTTTTGCTTAACTTTCCCCAATTAAGCTTAACAGTAGATTATTGCTACATGTTGTAGCTTACTTCACTCCTTACAATCCTACTCTCCGTGGCATTTAGTTTGCAATACCTCTTGTAAAAAAATTGAAGCCTTATGTATTTACCCTTTTAATGTTTACTCATTCTTTGAGTCTTTCTTATCTTAAGTCCTTTTCAAATTCTCCGATCTATAATATTTTTATTTATAGATATTATGATCAAGTATTCCATAGATGTAAGTATTTCCTTACCTTACGTCGCTTTGCACGCCAGAGCATAAACTATTTGCTTCGGTGATTTTTTTTCACTATATTATGAGTATTCTTGGTGATCTTTTACCTTAGAGGATCCCTAGAGGACCGAGAGTAGAGCATACATTGGCACTCTTTTTGTTCCATTTATATCTTTAGTTGAGCAAGTGCTAATGACCTCTCCTAGAGATATTGGCTAGTACCATACACTCTTTAGAGTATCATACTCTCATTCCTCCTAAGATTAAAAAAGTGGCTCAAAAATGAAATATTTAAGTCAAAATGCAAATTTTGATATTTTTTAGGGATCCACATCCTTATCATCTCCACATTACCATGTCAAGAACATGCACCTACATTAATCTGCATCTCTCACATGGCCTATAAAAATTTAAGGTGATTTAACACTCATAAAGGAGAAAGTTAAAGTCTTAAATAGGGTGAAAAATCAATACTCTTTAAATCCAAATTCATTAAATGAGGACAACCAACCTTTTTTTAAAACAATATTAACTTAGATCCAATTCGATCCAAATGCGAACAATCAACCTTTTTTTAGAAGAAGATAAGAGCCACATTGAAGCAATTGTGAATCTCAATCACCACTCATAATTTTTCTCTTTAGAGGATAATATCATATCTCTTTAGAGATGATAATCAGAGCCTAATCAAGGAAAAAATTGATTTCCTCTTGCCCATAAAGAGGTATCTAGTGTTGGAAGTGAAGAGTAACAATATTTTTGGGTGTAATTTCAAAATTTTAAATAAAATTTTCAAGGGTTTTTGTTTGTTTTATTCTTTTTAGCAATCAATAATATTTATAATAAAAATTGTAAAAATAATTTTAAAATTATATAAAAATATAAGAAATAATTTTATAGGAAGGGAAATTCATGTGACCTGCTCCCACACCTTGCAAGTTGCATACAATTCGCTTGTGCCCACCATCGACAAGCAAGCTATCTACTCGAGCCTTGAGATGATTGTCTTTCTCTAACATTTTTGGGGCCCTCTAGAAATTTTTTTTTTATACTTTGAATTTATTTTTGACACTTTCAACATAAAATGAGATCACTATGAGCAATTGCAAAGACTTAAGAGCAATTTTTTTGCTCCAATCAATGCATGCAACATAAGAAATGTTAAAATTATTATTGAGGAGAATTTATTTAGTTTACAATCCAAAAAAGAACATCAAGAGAGTGATCATGCCTCATAATTTTTTTGTGAAGTTGAAATTTTATTTGTTAATTCTAAAAAAAAGGGGAAATGTTGCGTTATTAGAAAATCTATCTGATTATGCATGAATCTTGATGCAATGTTTCAATTAAAAATTTTTAAAATAAAAATTGGGATCATCATAACTCTATTTTAAGGAAACTTATGATTAAAATGATTGTTTTGATGAAATAACTTGACGACACCAACAGTGTGTTGACAATCATCCAAATGGACCTAAAATGAGCACCAAGTTTACAACCCTTCAAGCAATCAAACAATTTTTTAATTCTTGTATGCTAATAGTCAAATGAGTATTTTGATGAAAGGATTCAAACACACTGAATATCACTTAATTTCAAGATCATTAAGGCTTTATTTTATACGTCTTTCTTATTGTTTCTTAAAGCAGCTTTCTAGTTTAAAAATTAAATATTTTGTACTGAAAAAGTGCTTTAAGAAGCAGCAAGAAAGCTGTCCCAAACGAAGCTTAAGTCATTCACATGACTAAAAAATCTTATATAATCAACATGATCATCACATGTATTTTGATAGTTTTTTGGAAATTTGATTAAAATAACTAAAATGTTAATCTATAAAAACTTTAAATAAACACCAATTCTATAAATGTAAAGGTAGTTAGAATTTGAGAGTTATGAAGATTTGAAAAATCCTAGCACTCTACTTGATAATTGATGCCACAATTCATTGCCAATGATAGTAATTGCTCAACTATCGTCACTAGATTGAATTGCTTGACCACCATTGCTATAGCTCGATCACTTGACTATTGTCGTATGATCACTATCACTAGCCTATTATTGCACGAGTACCTTCTCTTAACTATTATCACATGACTATTGTCGTCCGATTACATTTGTCTGACCAACATTGCATGACTTTTATCTTTAAACTATCATGACCGTTTACTAACATAGATTGCCATCACCTTCTATCAATATTTATTATGCCTCCTAAATTTAGTAAACTATTATTTGAAAATGAAAAAGTAGGTTGGAATATTATGCCCAATTTTGATTAGAATGAGCTTAAAAAAAGTGACACATGATATTTCTATTAAATTTAAGGGGAATATATATATATTACTTTGGAGGAGTTAACACAATAATATTTTTGTTGTGATTTAGAGATTATAATGAAATATAAATAAATATAAAAATTTAAATATGAAATTTATAAATATATAAGAACTTTAGGGTATAAATGTAAATTCAAATTTAATTGGCATGAAATTATATGATTTTAATTTACAATAAAATTCAAAAAGAACGAAATAATTTAATATATGATAAAATAATAAATATTAAAATATTTATATGTCATTAAAAAATAATTATAAACAGATTAATAGATATACAAATTTAAGTCCATTTTAATAAAAATTGAATAGAATTTTTTTTTAATCTAAAAAGAATTTATTGCAAGGTCCGAATGCTCAGCAGGATCAAGTAAAAATAATAATAATAATAATAATAAAAAATCCTTACCAAAATATTTTCCTTCCAGAAGTTCAGCAGCCATGGAAGAGCCTTCCCAATCTCAATCGCTGTTCTCTTCCCGAAGGCTTGATAGAGAAAACATGCAGCAGCCCCTCTCTCGAAAAACATCCAAACGTCCAAAAGCCTAAACGGAGCTTTTAACGAAAAGTCCAAAACTCTTTGATTGAGCCAAACCCTTCGTCTCATTTATTCTCACCCTTTCAATTCCACTTCTGATCGCTTTGCCCCTCGAGTTTGGAGCGCATTCCGGTCTCTTGGCAAAATTTATGGACGGTCTCCCGCCCGATGACGCCGGAACTATCGATCAGACGCTATCATCCGATGACGACAGGGTTTATATGGTGCCCTACAGGTGCGCCTTCGAATCCGGCGATTCTCTTTCCATTTTCTGGGTCGGGTAGCTGCTGCGGCGGGAGATTGAAACCCTAAGGATTCTTCTCCGAGACTTTGCCGATCTTTCTTCGTCTCACGTTGTTTCCGCCTCGTGATTTGCTGATCAGGTGGTGGACGGAGGCGCAGGAGCTGGAATCCGAGCAGGGTACAGGCAATGTGGCTCGAGGGATCCCGTACATCGCGTCGCCCTCGCCATCCACTTATGGTGGACCGATGCGGATCATCAACAACATCTTCAACTCGGATCTGGTGTTTAGCCTCAGGCGAGATGATTGTCTTATGAATGACGATGCGGAGGAAGGGGTGTCAGAACGGAGCTATGCTTTGATTCCCAGTGATATGTGGTCGCAGGCGCTCAGGTGGTGAGTACAGCAAGAGTTTGTCATGATGTGTTTGATCCTTTGTTTTTCTTTATACCGTGGTATACGTTTCTGGAACTGTTGGTTACTTAACATTGATTGACTGCGTAATCTATGCTGCATTTTATCTGGCTGTCGGTGAACTGTGTGAGAGTTAGCCGGGCCAGGGGATTCTTATTATCCAACCTAGTAACAACGTGAACTTCAGCAGATTAGCAGGGTGCAGAGCTTTACAATTCCTTGTTTGATATGCTTTACCCTTTCTTTTAACAAACATTTACCTATGATTGCATGCTGGTGCTTGTTACAAATTTGAATTTAATTTCAGTGTGGAAAATTTTAGATAGGTAGACTGTCACTTGAATCTTTCTTTATTTCTTCTTCAGTTAAATTTATGTTGTTCAGTTTATCAGATTTAGAAGTTCTTTGGATTCAAATTTCTTCTTCAATTAAATTTGAATTTAATTTCAGTGTGGAAAATTTTAGATAGGTAGACTGTCACTTGAATCTTTCTTTATTTCTTCTTCAGTTAAATTTATGTTGTTCAGTTTATCAGATTTAGAAGTTCTTTGGATTAGCTAAATATTTTAATAATCCCTCTACTTAACTTTTGGATTAAGTGCTCCTTTTTCTGCAGGCATAGAGATGCCAACAGTGGAAACCTGATCTTCCCTGGGGACGAGTATGTTGATGTTTATCCCCTGAAGCTTAGAATTTCTGTCATAAGAGAAACAAGTGTAATGACAGTAAGGATCTGCAAAAGGGTAAGTCTTATTATCTTGAATGTTTTAACCACATGTAAAGTTTAGATCATGATAATATTGCTGAATTCAATGGGTATTGTTTTATCCCTTTTGGGCTATATAACATCTGCATAGTATTCTGCAGTTTGCAACTAGATGAATGCTTATTGAGCTTGTTGGGGCTTGTGATTTTGAACCTTTTTTTTATTTTTTTTTCTCTGTCAAGAACTGCTGTATGACATCATTGCCATTTTTACTTCTTTTAAATTGGCTATGGAGTCAAACTGATGACAATATCAGAAATCTTTTTAAATAGATTCTACCACCAAATCTCAATTTTTATAAAGATTTTTCACGAAATTTGGCAATAGTGATATCTGTATGATAACATTTTTCTTTGACTTAATCCACCTTATTTAACAACTTATTTTGGCATGCCGTGAGTTTGAGCTTCCCTAGTTTAATCTATTTTCTATTTGTACCACACAAAAGATGCTTATGATTTAAAAATTTATGATTAATACTTAGAATATTTATGTTATTAATATCTAAATTGCTGCAAACACTATGCAGATTAACTTATAATAATGCATTAACTATTGATAGAAATAAAATTTCTGTATGTTATTATGTGTAAAGTCTCTTGCATTTTGTAGGCATGCTTTCCTATGCATGAAGGTTTCTTCTGATCCAGGCTAGCTTTATCAGGCTCAGTTTCTTTTGAGCCATGTTAGCCTTTTCATGCCTAAGGTCTTACTTTTCATGTGACTTCTGTTATTATTTCTTAATCTTTAATGTTATCATCTGAAGTTTGCTTGTGATAATTTGTGCAAGCCTAATAGTAAGACATCTTCAAACTTAAAGCTGTTGAGATATTGTAATATATCATATGTATATTGTACATGCACTTCACTGGCTTATGATATGTTTTCTACCTCAATTTGTAACTACTCTAGTCAATTGCAGGACAATGCAGTTGAAAGTTATAAACGTGCATGCAAGATCTTCTCTGTTGAGTCTGATATGGTATTTTTCTATCTTAAAGACTGCTTATTTGCTTTTAACAAAAAAAATGTAAGTTTGAGGAAAAAATTCACTTGAGTTTGGTATCTTTTGATTAGGTGCGCATTTGTGACTTCTCTGGACAAACAAATCTTATATTGATGAATGAATGGAATAGATTGCCTCAAGATGGTCAAAGACTAATAAACCATGAGGTAGTAAGCCATCTATATGGCTTATCATCACTTATTTACTCCCCATGAAGAAATGCTTTTTTGATGTAAACATTATCATTCACCAATTTCACCAGTACGGTTTCATTGCTGCTTTTCATTTGGATATAAACTTACTACAGCATGATCTCCATGCACCTATTATTTATTTACTTGTCTAGATGTTATTTTGATATACTAGAACTTTTGCCTTTTTTAGTGGAGGAACATGATGCATTAAGAAACATATGCTGGGTTGGGAAAGGTTGTGATCCTCGATAATTTTCTTGAATGGGATAACAAGCAAAGCTATTCATATGGCATAAAGATGAAAAGTGAAGCTTTTTGTGGATCAGTATGGATCAGTGCATCTTGATCTCTTGTCATGTATATGCATATTTCTTATTATGGCTTGTTATGGGACTAGAAGCTTTCCTGTATTCAAATAAATAAATAGATCTTTTCACCATTAGATTTATTCAGTAATAATGTAAATAACAGTGATTCTAGGCATAATTAAGTGAGAATCAATGAATACCATTTAACAACATAGCATCATGATTTAGATTCTTCAGTTATGCACTTGGGAGCAAAGTTTGAAGGACCTTAGTTGGTTCGTAAGGAACTTATTTGTCTCAAACAATAACGATAAATTTTTTGTACTTTACTTTTTACTATTTACTACCTATTTTTGCACTTCAGCATTTGAGGTAAAGTTGGTTCTTTATGATGTTTGGTTTGAATTCATGCACATGTGTGCATTTGTGTACTTGTTAACTCTTCTTTTGGTGAGGGACAGTAGAGAGGATGAGCCTAGTGATAAAGATGCTCAAGTAGGTAAGCGCCAACATGTTGTTTTGAAGAAGCATCATCTAATATTAGAGACATTTTGAAGGGAACACATCATATGTATATATTTCAAATATTCTCTTTTGAGTTGCTCAACCATGTTATTCCCTAAATTTAATTTACTTCATAGTTCTTGCTTTGTGGGAGTTTCTTTAGAATGAATACTCTATGAGGAAAGGCCCTTTGGGTAACAGGAATTTGGATGCCCATCTATTCTCTTATGAGTTACCTCCTGGATCTTATTTGCTTCTCCTATGATTCTGTGATAACCTAAGTCATATTAAGTTATATGCTTCTAGTATAAAATGAGGTGAATCCTTCTTTTTGATGAAGATATGGACAAAAAAAATTTTCTTGGATTGATGGATGCTTTTGTCTTAATTCCTCACTAAACTTGTACAATCATGAATCATTTTGTGGGAATTCTCTTTCCATTGCAGATAGTGCCTATCTCTTCATGTATTATGCTCATACGCTTGAGTGTTGGAGAAGTCTTTGTAACATTTTGAAGATGTGCTTTTCTAACTTTTGTATTGTCTAGATTTCAATCATTTTGCTTTTAACATTTGTTTGAGTTGGATTGTGCATTCTAACTTGAGAAAGGAGCAGGGATAGCATGGGCCAATCTATGCAAAAGCATTTCTTGAGCATCAATTTTGTGTACATTCGTTCAGAAGTTTTTCGGTTATTTGGTTATTAGTATTTCTCACGTTTATTTGGAAGAGTTCATTGGGAGTTATTTCATAAGTTTTTTCTAGGATGTTCCTTGGATTCCATTAAAAAATGTTCCTCGAGTTTTCATTTTAATTGTGTTCGGTTGAGTTGTGGGATAATTGAGTTGTTTGGTTATTTTAAGTTGTGGAATTGTCTAGTTATTCAAGTACTTTGAGTTAAGTGGATCTTTTTTTGCTCCCTCTCACTTGATTGGATCCTATTTTACTCTATTCCATAATGCTCATCTTGACTTTGCCTTCTCAGTCACTTTAATAATTTTCCATGTGTTTGGCTCAGATCATTCCTTAAGAAGAGATGAATTTTTTAATCCTTATCAATCTAGATCATTTCAAACCCTATTTATTGACAAAAAGGAGTTTTAAATGAAGAAGCCCTTAAAAAAATGAAGAAGCCCTTAGTTAAGCTTTTTTGATAAGATCAGCATTGCTGATTGATATAATTGGGCTATTCTAGTTTGTTTGCTTGTTGTCTTGATAAGAGAAATTTTGGGGGAAAAGTTCATTCTTTATCCTCCCTTTTGTGTTGGACAAAACATCAAATAGAGATCAAATTCAATGTAGTTTGTTCATGCGTTGTGGGAGCTCTTCAAAATGAATCCTCTAGAAGAGCATCCCCATGGTTAGTTTGAATCCACTAACCCATCTATCCCTACATGTTACTATCCATTTTTAATCTTTTTTTAGGTTGACCAACCATGTATATGATCCTCTCATGTGGAACCCAAAGTCATATTAAGTTACATTTTCCCAATATATAATTAGGTGAATCCTTCTTTTTAGTATATATACGGGCTATTGGATTTTTGGATGTTCGATTGCCTTGCTTCATCACTTATGAAACTTTAGTGGCCAATGCTGAGGATATTCCTACTCTTTCCTATGTTGTATAGATCTCTTGACTATTGAAGATGCCTTTAGATCATCTTATGGGCATCTTCATTCCCTTTCCAAACCCCTAACTTGCTAGCTTTTAGTGCTTCAACTTATGATATTCTTTTGAGCTAGCCTGTGGGTTTTAGTAGGGTTCCTGGGCATTTATTCAGAAGGTTTCCTCGATCAGTGCAAAGCATTTCTTGAGCATTAATTTGGAATCATTCCCTAGACATTTATTCAGAAGGGTTCTGATATGCCAAGGGGAATCTTGGCCAAATTTTAGTTAGGGTTAGCAATCAGAATCACTAGTGAAGTTTTGGATTGCATCTCCATGAGATTCCTCATCATCTCCTCCAACCCCCCAAATCGGCTCTCCATCCGATTCTCCATGTTAGAAAATTTTCTTTCGATTCTTGAGAACTTCTTTTCCATCTCAAATTTGATTTGCTCCACTGTGCCTTCCAAAACATCCACCTTCTTTGCTTCCATCTCTCCAAAACTTCATTCTGATACCAATTTGTCGGGCCTTGGAAGTAAAAACAACAAAATAGATAGAATAAAAATGCAGGAATACAAATATTGGGGTTGATTTTTTATTACTTCTTCAACAATAATGAAAGATACAGTTGATCTATTATTCTAGAGGTAGATCGACTATATCGTAAAACCTAGCCGCCGCTAGAAAACTCATACTAAACCCTAGAAAATAAACTCAGCACATATCTCTCCCTTACTGGCTTATCCTAGACAAAACTCCCCCTTAAATATCCCTCACATACATTAAACACAATCAGAACCTTCATAAACAACATAAACACAATTGTGAAATTTTCTAAACAATTAAAACATTATAAACATCAAAAACATAATTAGGAAACCTTTATAAACAACATAAACACAATTAGTAAACTTTCTAAACAATTAAAATTCTTATAAACAACATAAACACAATTATGAAACCTTCCTAAACAACTCCCCCATGATTCCTCCTCCTTATATTATGAATAATAGATTCCCCCCGGGGGGAGGGGGGTGCTAAATCTTCCCCTCTGCTGCCCTTGGTCAGGCCCAACCAAAGGGCTGGTACAACCAGGGCTGGACCGGTCAGGTGGCCACCCCTTGGAGAATCAGGTTCCTCAGTTATTCACTCGGAAATGTCCCTCTATTGTTTGTTTGGAAGCATTCATTGGGCTTTTGTTAGATGGTGTTCCTTAAATATTCGCTTAGAAGTCTTCTTCGGGTATCCATGTGAATTATGCTCGTTGGAGCTGTGCGATGGCCAAGCCTCAAGGTCAAGTGGAGCCTTTTTGGTTCTTCATTGGATCCCGTATCACTTGTCATGACTCGGCCTGGAGGCTCAAAATAATGAGACGAGAACAGATGGTCTGACGAATTTTACAAATTCTTTCTATAACACTAAACACTCAAAAAAAAAAAAAAAAAACCCATCCAATTTTAACTTAAGAGCAACTAAAACAATTTTCTGTTGAACATATAAATCAGACAATATCCATTTTTAGTTGAACATCTTCTATACACATAACCTTCTTATTTAGCCATTTATTCAATAGAGGATTTATCTGAAATATTTCATTTAAAGGGCTTAGTTTTCAATATTAAACTCAGTAGTCAATTACAATTTTATAGTATAGTAGTAATAAAGTAACATGCATATAATTAATCATACTATGTCATCATAGTTTCATTTAATATGCATACGAGTATTTAATATAAATATGAATACTGTCAATCTTTTATCCATATAACATTCTTTAGGATTTTTTTAAATTTTTTTTTAAGTTAATCTCGTAACAAATCATTTATTTCAGTAGCACTGTTTAAATTTTATACTAATAGAGATACAATCTTTTATTTTTTCATTTTCAACCTTTTTCATTTATTGTGCATTTGTACATTGGGTCCCCAACTAGTACTATAAGGGGGTGAACTCTTGTAATTACATGCATTTACCATATACATTTCACTAACTTTCATTTCTGAAGAAGGGAGAGGGTATTTTTGCCATAGTACCTGGTGGAAATGATCTTTGCCTCTGAATTATTCCTGGTATATAATCTTGAAATTGGTTGCTTTATGTAACTAGTAACTACGGGCGCTTTGTTGTCATTCCACCTAGAGTTTAATCAGCATTACTATCTGATTCCTGATGAAACTAGGAAAACTTACTGTTATTATAATACACCAAACTCTCGACGAGGCTGGCAATGATGGGAAATTGGCCTTGATATGGTTTTGCATGTCATTCTTTTTCAGTTTTTCTTTAGCAACTTGACATCAGTTTTGCTGTTGATTCTTGAAATGTTTCCATATGAAGGGCACATCATATTATCAGATTTGAAATTATAATGGTTACGTGAGTTAGAAGGTTAGAAAAAAATTTTATGTACTCATGGCCTCACGAAATTTAATTATACCTTGATTTTATTCTAACACTCATCTTGGGACGGTACTCTTTTCTTTTTTAGCAGATTAGAACACCTTAAGCGAGATTTATGCTAGTTACTGTCATTGTCTTCTTATATGTCAGCTTTTGGGTCTAAAAGGTGAAATTTCTTTTGGAATATGGAGTAGAACTCTCTTCTTTCTAGATGATATTTGTAATTTATACTTGATTATGTAGTAAAGTTGCTACTCAGTGAACATGAGATTTTTAAATCATGCTTGATTTTTAAGAGTTTCATTTAGTATAACCTCTTTTATTTCAACCATTTCCAACTTTATTATTTTTCTAGTTTTGTCTTTGCAGATTCTTCTAGAGTTACAATTGCATGCTTTGTCAGAATCTTTAACTTGTAGAACTGAAGGGAAAAAGGATGATTTTCTGGTGCAACAATCTAAAATCTATTGCGGTAGCTCCATTTTGAGCAATGGTAGCACAACACGGGCTGAATATGATCTTTGTTTTGGAACCTCAAAGGGGTCTGTTTCTTTTGGATTGATTGGTCTAGAAAATCTTGGAAACACATGCTTTATGAACAGCGCAGTTCAGTGCTTGGCTCACACACAAAGGCTTGTTGAATACTTTCTTGGAGATTACAGCAGAGAAATAAATTATCAAAATTCGTTGGGCATGGGTGTAAGTTCACAAAACATGGAAATTTCCTTATGTTTTGGTTTTTTTTTTTGGTTAATTTATAAAATAGCCTATCTGTCTAGCTTATGATATGAAGATGTGGGTGGAGAAGTTCTATATTTTTGTTTTGAAGCATATTTTCTTCATTTGGTTTCTCAATTACTCTGATATTTCTGTAGGGTGAGCTTGCATTAGCATTTGGTGAATTGTTGAGGAAGTTATGGGCTCCTAATAAAACTCCAATAGCGCCAAGGGATTTTAAGGCAAAGCTTGTTCGTTTTGCCCCTCAGTTTAGTGGTTTTAACCAACATGATTCTCAAGTGAGTTATTTCTCTTGATCTTTAGTATCTCTTGATTTTTATCGCATTTATTCTTAAGAAATCATATTATGGTATCTTTATTGGGTAAGAAGTTACATATATGATATTTTTAGTTTGTCTTTCCCATCATATCATTATTGGGGTAGAATGTGCTTTGTTTCATATATTTTTCTTGTTTAACTTTTTTGTCCTATTTTCCCAAATCACCATGTTGCAAGCAGGTACTATTAGGTTTTATAGTTTTCCATTAGCCATTGTACGTTACAACTGATTGTACATGAGACTTCAAAGAGCTCTAAAAAACTCGAGAAGAGAATTTTCGCTCAATCTTTTAGGAACTTTTATTTAGTCCGGTGAACTTACGCTCTTCTACGTTCGGCCACCAATGTATTCACGCCACGTAGCATGAAGAAAAGTCGCCGACCCGACCCGCTGTATTTTGAGTTATCGCACGTGTTAATTTTTAAATGGAAGACATCGCAAACACTTTGAACAGCAACCTTCACCTTTTTACGGTGATTCGAATCCCTGTTACTGTTTACTTCGTTTTTAGTTTTCCAGCAATTCCTTCGGAGTTCTCCAGCATTTCCTTCGTAGTTCTCCAGCATTTCCTTCGTAGTTCTCCAGCATTTCCTTCGTAGTTCTCCAGCATTTCCTTCGTAGTTCTTCGTATTCTCCTTTCGAAAACCATCGCAGATATAATGCCTGAGGTTCGAAACGATTTACCGAAAAATTATCATTGTTATGATATTGTTTATCTCGTTATCAATCTAAAAGTACCGAGTTTTAGGAATATGGTAAACATTTCTGGTTGTTTTAAAAACTCGGTACGCATTCTAAAACTCGGTACTAATCGGTATTCGGTATTAGGTTTTGTTCGATTTTCTCGGTATTTGATGATGAAAACTCGGTAAACGTAGTAACTGGTTGATAAAACTCGGTACACATTTCGTAGACATGTTAGGTTTTCCTTAGTAAATCGAACAGAATCCTAAACGACGTGTATTTAGGGTTTAGGGTTCTGTTCTACCGTGTAACTAGGTACTCGGTACTCGGTACAACTTGGTACTCGGTACTCGGTATTTCTTGAAAAGAAACGTCAAATATCTAAAATATAACGGTTTGGGTCGGGTCGTCGGGCTGCTACGTGGCGTAAAATTAATGGTGGCCGAACCTATAGAAACATTCGGTCAGAGGACGTAATAATTGTTCATCTTTTAGAGGACTCAATATCTTGATGTAGGACATTTTAGGATCTTGGTTTTTTTCAACGGCTCTTTGGCTGTAATTATTTAGGATACTTGTGTATTTTAAGTTCTTTAGGTAATTTGGTTTGTTATAAAATAAACTCACGAAATCCTTTTTTTTGTGTTTGGTTGGTTGGAAAATCTCCTCATGATTTTAGTTGAAGGCACGGTCAGGATAGTGGCTGTGCATGATGTAGATGATGGGCATTGTGGGGACTATAGGGACAATATGAGTAGTAGTTGTGGATGCCTAATTGGTGTTGCTGTTGCGGGATCGGGCTTGCGGATGGCATCAGGTTGGGCATAGGGACAACATACTAGGAATGGAGTTCATTCATTGTTAAAATGTATATATTCCAATTTGCATTTTTGAAATGCATGCCATCAAACCAAAAACCCATTGAAAATGGTCTCGTTTGTGTATATTCTAAAATCCTCAAATATATTTCACTGTTTTTTTCACTCAACCAAACAACAAAAAATATAAAGTTTCTGTATTCCTAATGCAATATGCTCTTTGAACACTCATCCAAACAACTCTTGAATGCAAATTTTGGATGCGATGCACAAGAACATACTCGAGATAAAAACTTGCACTTCACCAACTCTTAGGCAGGCAAAATTGTCATCACTTTTGATGTAAATCAGATTAAACATATAACTTGCTGCAAATATAATTTAAAAATTGTGTAAAATTGAAATTATTTAAGAAATCTGAGGTCAAAATAAAATCATATAGTGATTATGATTCACAATGCAAGAAGAATAGCTAGATTGTAGAATATTTGTCTAAATTTCAGTACATGTAAAACTTATCATACCGTAGATGAAAAAAGCGAGGACAAAAGTTTTCAACTAGAAGATCTAGGTCATACTAGGATAAGCTTCCTGAAAAAGTTGCTTTCAAGGCTTGCATTGCGCTTGAAAAATTGAAATCCAACTAACACAAATATACGTGAAAAGTAGTAATTTTATTAAGCCAATGCTTAGGCTGATTCTTTTGAATTCATCTTGGGTCCTATTTATAATAAAAAATTCAATTTATAGTTTATACAAAATTCCATGTCATCTTTCTGATTCACATATAATGCAAAACAACTTCCTGGTTTAGGTAATACGTTTCTGTGGAAGAAACAAAGCAGCCACAAGTCCTGATTTCGCAACCTTCCAAATCTTCCCGCAGCTCCAGCAGTCTATGATTCTGTCGAATCCTTGAAGTTAAGGTTTCAACAGGTGGAAGCTATATATTAAGTAATTAGAGAACCACGGCGTGCCAGTTCCAGTGCTTAAAACTGCACCAACTCAATATGAACAGCAAACGAAAAACAGTTGTATGCTTTTTGGGCACCAATTAACTAACTATAAGCTTCCGAAGCTATAGCAAACAGCAAACAGCCACTTATAAACCAGCAAACAGCTACTTATAAACCAGCAAACATCAAACTTTTAAAAGGACAGCTGCAGCTTACCCATTTACAAGGAAAATTTTAAATACATTATAGAAAGTGAAACTTGCTTGCATGTAATGAATTATTTCATAGGCATGCTTACGACAAAATAAATTAGAAAATAAAAAGATTTGAAGCATAGACACCTAAATCAATGTTAAAATATACATCTCACTGCATATGATTTGTGTTTTTGATGTATATTGAATTTTATATTTACATTATTTTTCTTAATTTGCAGAAATTCAAATTATGAATTAAACATTTGATATGCACTATGTAAATATGGACATAACTAATGTGTTTTTTTGCAAAGTAATCCATGAATAATTACAAATAGGTATACCATGCCAATATAATATATATCTATAATATCCATTACCACTTGAGGACCCAATTTCATCATTTATAACTAGCCGCTGAGTTAAGACATAATTATCTAGTAACCTGCATGTGATTTCACAATGAGATAGAAAATGAGAAGCATCATTGATAGTATTAGTTAGTTCTTGTTAAAGAAATCAAACTGGATAGAAGATTAGATGAATTCCATAACTCTTTGAATTTTCAATCTATAGGAATTTATCCTAATTATTATTTTATGTGATTCGTTCTTTCTTGCTAGTAATTTCTTAAAGCTCAAATCGGTAACTTTCCAAAATTTAGATGTAACCATTATTTTATTTTGTTTGAGTTTTATATTCCCTGATCAGATCAGCCATAAACTTTTAATTGCTAAATCAAGTATTTAATTTCTTGTGATTAACTTCATACAAATGACTAATATCATATAAAGCAAGTAATGCAAATAAATAAAGGGGTATTAATAAAACCCATAATTACTTTCTGATAAATTAAATTAAAAGTTGACAATTTGCGCAATTATTTTATTCTTATATATACAAACAAATTTTTAAGAAAGCTAATTTGAATGGCTTAATTATTAGTTGTGATGATTTATTCATACTTAGAATTGATGAAATAGAGAAAAATTAATTTTCATGTTTTTTTAATGCATAAATTGAAATTGACGAGCTAGGTAAAAAAATCAAGGTACCAACTTAGTAGGCCCAAAGGTTGGAGAGCGCATAGGCGTTAACTAAAAAATTCGTAGTAGTAGATGCACTTGTGCATCCATGCATTGACACACATGATTGTGAGAGGGGAAAAGTAGCTAGGGCAAATATAGCAAGACGGGCATAGAAGCAGGGTGAACTTGCTCGGCCTTGAATATTGTGTATGAGAATGTCAAGCATAAAGTGAGTGCAGGTTGAGTTTAGGGAGAGTGACAAAAGTTGCAAGTGATTAAGATTAAATATATTTAGATTCTAATTGTAGTCTATGTTCATATATGTTCTTAGATTCAATTTTATTTTCACATTCAACTTCTAATTTAAAGTTATATTCATGAGTGATATCACTCTTAAATTCTATTTTAGAGTTGAATTCTAGCTCTGTTATAAGTTTAAGTTAATGAGCAAGTTTTAATGTATATGCATATTCAAATTCAGGAAAATTGGATGTAAAATTGTCTTGTAACAGTATATAAATTTTTTAATTAATATATCGTCTTTTGAATATTTGTGAACTACAATCTTTTCGATAAGATCATATTTTTGTGTCAATATATGTCTTGTAGGATTTAGAAGAGAAGCCAGTGATTTCTCCTTATGGAATTTAATTATAGGTTACATTAATCCTAACATAATGGTTGTAATATGCCTAAATATTCCAAGATCTGGATATAGCCTCAGGTAGTTCTTTTGGTGAATTATATAAGACCTCTAATGAACAAATATGGGAACAAATAGTCCATAGACAAAAAAATGTTTAGCTATAAGATATGTAAACCATGCATAACATTCAAGCACACAATATCCATTATATTTGTAATTCTTAAATTGGTTTTGTAGTTGGCCACTATTCATTGAATGACAAATTTTGGTCTTTAAGTTTAGTTTTCATTATCAACCCATTTAGCTTAGAAGCAACACCTTACCAATACTTGTAATATTTAGTATTGGTGTTGAATTTTGCCTCATATGAAGAGTTTTGGATCATTTTGTTTTTTTATTGTACTCCCCTTTAGGGAGGATATTTTTGATGGTACAGCTTGCTGTTATTTGTCTTATTAAAGATGTTAAGATTGAAATGATTAGAAGAAATGCATTAATAGACTAAATTTCACAAAAGAATTTGGGAAAGCTTACTTACCTATTGGTAGTCTAAGTTACCTGGATTGAAACTATTATTTAACTGCCATAATGATATTATCAGATTGTCTGCTTTTTTGAGACATAACAAA